TTAAAAATACTCAATGTTTTAAGAGAGATATCATATTTCAGAATTACTTGACAGGTGTATACCTTATTAATTTATTATATGTAGTACAAAATATTATGTAATTTATGTATGTAAACATTTCTATGAAATAAAAGCTTGTGCCTTGCAGTTGCAGTCCCAAGTCATGCTGTAGACAGCAGAATTTGATATTATTAAAAATTTGTATTGTTACTTAAAAGTTGTTTTAGATCACAAATGTATTTACACCGAATTTGAATATTTTAACATTTTAAAGTAAATTAGTTAGCCAGTCGTGTAGTGAACTTTCGCAGAGGTGAACAACTTGTGTTTCGCGCGCTCATATGACCTTAGCAGTTGCGAGCGCCGTAAAACCTTATACTATACATACAGACAGCGGAAGTCTTCATAAGACGTCACATGCATAAGCTCCAGCAATCAATACTTTTAATGATCTTAGAATAAATAAATATATGACAGTGGAATCCAGTTTACCTGAAAAACAGTTGATCTAAAAACAGTGGTACATCAAAATAGAATCAAAGTGTCAATTTTTTCCTTCCACTTGAGCAGCCTCTCTAAACAGAAAACCCAACTAAACCTCTAAAAAAAATATAGAGGTGTCACAGATTTTGCTTTAAGTAGACACATTTGTAAGTTTGAAGTAAAACGACTTCTTACAGATTACCTTGTCTCTCTTGTGAAGAAATAGCGAAACTTTGAGTCTTAATCTGAAGATTGTTTAGCATATAATATATATATATCTTCAATAAACATGCAACAAACCTGGAATCTAGTGATGATGATCTCTATCTTTTCTCCACTCCTCCGACATCCACAAATCTGAGCCGGAGTGGACTGGCTCACCGCCCTCTTTTTCCTGAGAAAAAGAAGATGGATTATGAACAGAGCAACAGGTCTACAACTTTATAAGATACTGTAATAGATTACTATGCCCTCCTGTCATTCTTTAATAATAATGATAAATACCAAATTGCACATAACATATACTGGCAATCAAAAGAAAGGTACCACTTTTTGATTGTGTATAAAATCTAGTCTTTTGGATCTTTAAGCTTTTCCTTTAGACAGCGCACAGCTTACCAAACAGCAGGTTATAAAGAAGAGTCCTGACCATTTTTAGATAGACCAGGTAGCACTCATCCGTAGGACCGTTAACTCATTATCTCCGTCAAGCTGCTCCTAGCGGCTCGCAGTCGGAACCCCTGTGCCAGTGAGTCGAACCGCTGCAGTGGCTTGAGCACATTCCTTTACGACGACTCCGACATCAAATTACTCTGCGGCGCTTGCTCTGAAAATAGGTCTGTTTTATCGGGAGTTCATTCATTAGATGAAAAACTATCAAAATAGGTTCACTCCTTTTGATTTAATGACCCATCTAGTGACGTTTTTGTCATTTTTAGATTTAGTTCCAAAGAAGGGGCCCGGCATATTGGGTTTATCCTCCACAGAGATAAAGAGTTAATAGTGTGGATAAAAGGGATATTGTCTGTTATATTCAGAGTTATTATTTTTTTAAATCTAGAAGTTCGGCAAGACGCAGTAGGGCAGCAGGATCAGAGAGGGCAAGTTGGCTACAACCAAGACAAAACGCGCTTAGATCCGAGAGTGAAACTACTCAGCTGTGTGTATCCTGTCAAGTCCATGAGGCCTAAAAATTTGTCACAAAGTGCAAAGGGACTGAATCAATTTAATATGCAGCTCTTTCCTAAAATCTTCTTTGGTCTCTCCCCTTTATGACCTCGGTCATGGAGGCAAAAACCTGACAATCAAACCATATAATATGAGAAGAAGATCCATAACTTTTCTTCCCCTTACGTGAGTTCTCTATAAATATTCTTCCAGACAGACATAAAGGCGATTCAGTTTGCTCCAACAGTACAACCCAACCCAAGAAGAAAATAAACCCAGCAGGATGAGCAATGCTTGCCAACCCAAGTGATATTGCCCACTAGCGGCCAATCCAGCTGTAATTTTGGTGGGCGGTAGGGATCACCTGGGTATTAACAGTAAATCATTTAAAGCCCTTTATCTTTTAACCTGCATATTATAGCAATTCCTATCCAACGCAGCCACAGTCAGTCATTTCCGCGACAAAACGTCAGCATTAAAACCTGCTCATTGCAGTCACTTGCAGTGAAAGTTTTTCACCTCCCACCCTCAGACTGCATATGTATGTTCACTCAATGCAAAAAACTATTATGATAGATATCAATTTCGATAGATAGGAAATGGAAAATCAAAATTAAGATTCAAGGTTTTACCTCTTTATCTCCGAGGAGGGTAAACCCATTCTGCTGGAGTCCTCTTTTGGTGCAAAATTTAAAGTGACATATACTATAAATATACACGTAATTAAAGCGGTCTTTAAATCAAAACAAGTGAACCTATTTTGATAGTTCTTCATTTAATGAATGAACTTCCAGTAAAAGAGACCTGTTTTTGGCAATTACGGAAAAGTAATCTGATGTTGAAGTCATCGTAAAGGAATGTGCCCGAGCTGCTGACAGCGGCTCACTGGCACTGCGGTTCTGACTTGCTGCTGACTGCCAAAAGTTCAGTGAGTGACTCAGATCCTGTCCATTGTGACTATCCGTCTAGTGAAACAGTCACTTTTCTCTGTGAACTTAAGTGATCGTTATGGGCAGGTTCGACTGACATTATATACCTCTAGCAAAAGACAAGAAATACGTACTTTCCCCTTCTTTGAGTTTTGACATTCTTGCTGAGCTCAGGGATGCTTGACAATCTGTAACTGTCTTTTGGGAAGTTGTATCATGCCGGGGTGTCGGAGCATCAAATATTGTTGGCACGGCATTCTAGACTAAACGCTTTTTTTCAGAAGGTACATTAAACTGGCTGCCCTCAAAGTGGTCACTACACAGTACACATAGCCTCCTTATATACCATGTCAACAGATGACTTTTCAAGCATGTCCTGACGACCCACATTCTGAATCCACGGCCTGCATCTGTGAAAAGGTTTGAAAAAAAAAAAAGAATAAATTGCAATGATTACTTTGATCCGGTTATAGGCTAAAACATGTCACAATGAAAAGGAAAACAAAACTTCAAACATGCTCAGACTATGAGTTTGCATGAGCTGCTCTTGAGCATCCATCTCTCAACTGGCCCTTCATAAAAAAGTGTACGTATCATCAATCAACAGTTTTCAGTGGCACGCCCTACAGTCACCATACAGAGCTAGTTAACTATACTCTGCTCAAAGGGAAAGAGGGGGGGGGGGGGGGGGGGAGAGAAGAGACAGAGAGAGCAAGAGAGAAAGAGAGAGAGAGAAAGGAGAGAGATAGAGAGAGAGAAAAGGAGGAGGAGGAGGCGGGAGAGAGAGACAGTGAGAAAAATGGAGAGATTGTGCTCAGTCAATATGAAATATATATGATGCTGATTTACCCATTGTATAAAGCATCAGAATTCCACACTATTAATTTGTGTAGAATCTGAACTGTTATCAACAAAGAATACATTATACAGTATTATAGTACCTTGTCCTGCCTTTCAACTTCTCTTGGACCACGGGCAAGGTATTCAGAATGGATAAATCTTTAATTTAAAGAAAACCATTTTCGTTCATTATTTTGAGCCTATAAATGACAGAAGGATTTCACGGGGTGAATAATAATTTACAATGTATTTTCAAAGCTTATTTGAATTGTGAAGTTTCAACCCCATCACACCCCCCATTTCGTCATTATAATATATATAAAATATATATTTACTTGAAACATTTTAGTACGAGCTACTTCTGGGTCAATTTCAACAAATCAAAAAGAAGAGTGTAGCCTTACCCAGAGACCCTGAAATGCCAGAATGTTTCTAAAAACTGGTTGCTCTTAAAAATATCTTTGGCCACATGAACTCCTGTAGATAAGATTCGAATTAGGCGTCAGAGGTGCCATGTATGGCCCTGAATTTGCTTTTGGCGTCACTCCAGCATCCCTCGATCTGGTTCGTGTAACCAACCGGCCTGTCTGCTAGGTCCACGAAATGGAGCGAGTGGTTCACGGACTACGGAGTCATGGTTAGGCTATCGGTTATAGCTCGCTCACTCGTCGGTGATTATCCTGGTACCGGGTAACACATGGGTTTGGATGATTGGCAGGAGTGTGGCAGCTGACCTGTCAGGCATGGGCACCAAAACACAATTATCGCTGCCCCTTTCCACAATACCGAGGACCCATGTCCCACTCTGTATCCCTCTGTAGTACTTCCGATGCGTAAACTTACTCTCATCTATAGATCTCAACTGTTTTATTGGGACTACCCAGCTGAGTGGGATGGTCAATCAAATACTGAGCACACACATCCCTTATATAAAGTTTCGCCAGTCAACAACGGTGTGCGCAGTACCTCAAGTTTCCCTGGCCACATGATGAAACTGACACGTAAATCAGTGGCCCACTAGTATTATATCATGTCCAATAGCTGCGTTAATTTCAAATGAGAGCCTTCAAAAAACTAACCTTTCCGAACATTTGTCTGACCTCTGCACCGGCGGCACGCCCAAGCACATCCATCAACATTCGCGCACCTTTTGTCTTTTCTGGAGGTTCATCGGAATGCCGCACAAAGAATAGAGTTGGCCAGCAGGTGATGCTCGGCCATCCATTGCACACACAGAAATTCTGTTGATGTTGTAAAGGCGCCCCCTTAAAGTGAAGGACAGCTGGGGCAAGGCAGCTGCCCGCATCTGATTAGGCACAATAATGTGTCGGCGCAGCCGGTCTCCCCATTCGTGCAGCCATTATTTCACAAGACTTTCATGGAATTAAAGTGGGGGAAAGGAAAACGCGCGTGTGTCAAATTAGATCTAGAATCTAGATCTAGATCTAGATCTAGATTTATTTCTATGTCTTTGCCTTTTTTTCCTTTGCATATAAAACAAATTAAAATCTTTTTCAATTATAAGGTTCATAAATCACTGCAATTTAAATCACAAAGTGTGTAAATTGTTTAAAGGAGACCTGACTATTGTCCCATCTAGACCAAAGTGTTTGTTTACAAACAAAGCTAATTACACGACCAGTGTGGATCTTGCATGTTATTGGGACAATTTCAGTACGAAGGAATAAAAATAGTTTACTTCCGGTTCATAGATATGAATAAATGAAAATTAGATACCTGTAATTTACGTTAGCAGCCCTTTGCAAACCAAATTGTAGCATACTTTTGACAAAAAAATTCATATTCTTGAAACTTGTGGAATAAGTGAAAGGTTTCATTTTCAGGTAACGTAAATGGATGTTGTTCTCTTCGTCTTCTTTAGATATGAAATCAGTTTTAAGTGGACACTGTAAGTCAACCGCAGACAGTGTTGATCTGACTTAGCGACTGCTACTGCTACTGACTACTGATCGGTGTGTGTAATTGTATTGACTCCCCGTGTCTTCTCGTATGAAGGTTACTGTGCAAACCAGGTACAACCAGTATTAGTCTAAAGCTGCAAATAGTCTGTTAGCTAAAGTTAAAGTTTTAATTTTACTTTTATTTAACCTTTTTCAATATTCAATGCAAAACCTAAAACGTGACTCAGCATCAGCTGTCAGTTGTTGTCGGTCAACGGCAACGGACACTTTTGTAACAATCTAAGGCCTAGTGATAGAAATAGAGAAATAGAGCGATGGAAGGCCTGCGTTAGGCCGTGAGGCGTCTTTGAATAGCTTGCCTGTTAAAAAACGACTGGAGTGTCATGTGATATGTTCTTTTAACATTTTCTTCTGTAAAAAAAGTAATCCATTAGGCTACTGATGTCAAGACTAGATCTAGATCTAGATCTAGATCTAGATTCTAGATCTACATTAGATCTAGAGTCTCTTGACTCCAAGATCTTGACCTATCTATATAGCCTAGATACTAGATCTAGATCTAGACACAGATCTATCTCAGGCTAGGCTAATAGATCATAGTTTCTATCCTGTAGATTCTAATATCTCAAATGGAATAGATTTTGTCGGCCTATGTTTTGTCTTTGTGTACCATTTAACTTGTGTTACTCTGTCACTGTTGATAAACAATATTTACAAAGTCAAAGTGTCATGTGATGTGTTCTCTTTATTTATAAATATAAAAGATTTTCTTCAAGTAATCTGTTAGGCTGCTAGATCTAGACTATATAATCTCTAGATCTAGGTGTCTATTTAATTTATTCTAATCGGATACAGGCCAAAAGCATTCCACACTTTCCGAATGCACAGTCCAGGACAGCTTTTTATTTCTTGAAAGCAATTTTATATTTTATTTCCAATTTTTCTTATTGATGCAAGACTGCAATAAAAATAATGATGACAAAGAGTTCATTGCTAGACGTTTTTGTTTCCTAAATTCATTCCAAGTTTTCTAGACTATAAAAAGTAGTGTATCATAAAAAAAGGATCATATATTTACACAAAAGAAAACTGAGGCACACCATCATTGCTGATAGATCAGCGATACATATGTCCGCTAGGGGTGCGGACTTCTGCCGATACATCAAGGATGTCCAAAAAGAGTCAATTTTGGTGGAAATTTTTGCTTGAAATAAGTTTCCTTTTTCAATAAAAGAAAAAATGGAAATACCTTTACCTTTAGTACAGGAAAAGCTGTGTGAGTGTGTAGGAATATAATTTTCAATGTGATTGTGACTGAAAAACGTAGGCCCTGTAGACTGTTTTTCAAAGAAGTTGTTTGTCTGAGCTTGGTCCTGTGGTTTGTGTTTTAAGATTTTTAAAAACTCACTAACTGCTATGAATGATTTTCCTATGAGGATATATTTTTATATATATATTATATTGCTATCACAGCTCTTGGAAAAGTTCAATTTCAGCAACAACTTTAATATCATCCTCCGCTGCATTC